AGGATCTGCATCTAAAAAGGCTCTCAATTTAGCACTAAATTTAGGTTGCAAAAAAGATTTTTTTAAGATAATTATTATAATTATGATGATAGATTTCTTGAAGGCGAACATGATAGGCCACAGACATCTCTTTAATTACTTTTAAAAGAAATACAACTATTAGATATTTTAGAAGTTTAGGAACTTTGCAGTCTTATTAGATTATATATTATCTTATTAATAGATAGTAGCTATTTATATACATGCTTAGCTATAATTAATCATGGGCTTGTCTGTTCATATTTTTTCATATTATAATGAATTCCAAGATTGCTAAAGTTCATATTGGCCTTATTGCCAAATAATGGTATCTGAAACATATTTTTAAGATCAAGATGTTCAAATTTTAAATGATGCTATTTAAAATAGTAATACAGTTTCAACAGGATAATATAGTTGAACTATTAATAGCAGATTTATATATATTTAATCAGTTTAGAGCATCAGATATATTAACTATTGAAGTTAAGCAAAATATATAAAGAAAAACCAAATATGCATATAGGTTTAGCAAAATGAAAAAGGCTCTCAATTTAGCACTAAATTTAGGTTGCAAAAAAGATTTTATTGATATAGATAATGGATATATCAATCGCAAAAGAAATAATATTGATATTACAAATGATAGTGAAGAAGATCTGCAGATATTTGATCCCATTATTCAAAAATGGCGAGGTCATCCACCAATCAAGTGCATTAAATCAGCAACTGAAACCAAAATATATTATACCAGTTCAAAAAATAGTGCACTTAACACACTTGATCTTAATTTATATATACAACAAAACACTCAGCAAGTATCTTCATCCGATTCTTCTGCTTATATTCCTGATTCTAACAATATTGAAGAGAATGATACTTATATACCATTTGATAATTTTAATACAAGAACACAAGTTACAGACAATAATATATCTAAGCACAAGTATATATGTAAAATTTGTAGAAAATCTAGTTATAATGCTAGAAACAAAGTGAAATGTAGCAAACAGCAATAATAGTTGAATCTTTAAGTTAGATTTAGTTAAACAAGCTATAGGAATTGTAACTTGTATTCTATTTTATTGCAATTGTAATTCAAAATTTACTAATACTAGGACAAGAGCTATAATTGTGTAAGTTATAAGTTTAGTACTATAATAACTCTGAATGTGTAAAAGCTAGCTATAAATGCACCAAAGCATTGTAGTATTTTGTATTAGCCACCCAGTTTAATTAATCTATTATAGTGATAAAACTACAATGTTTTGGTGCATCTTTTATGTATTACATATAATAATGTTTAAATTTATATAAGTGCTGCAAAAAGAAAAGCCTGAATTCTCAACTATAAGGATTTTATTTTGCAGCATTCATGTGTTGTATACTACAATATTGACTGTTAAATTGATATGATGGATGTATTGTCTGAGAGTACAAATTGTATGCACATAACTGCTTTAGAAATATGCTCTGTGAAACAAGTGTCTAGGTGCAGTGAAGTGAGCACCGTATTATGACTTAATAGTTTGTTCTGTATAGTTTATATTCACTTTTACTATTGTTATAAAATTGGTTAAAGCTAGTTTTGTATTATATAATACAAATTTTAATGATATTCAGTTTGTATTAGGGCTGTAAATCAATTCTATAATAATTGTTTTAATCATTAATCGAATTAGAATCGATTCTAATTTTTGGACAAACAATTTAATCATTTCTATAAATGATTATCAATTTTAAAATCAATTCTTGATTTAGAATCAATTTTAAGATATATAATTGCTTATTATTTAATTATTTAACTATGTAAATATTTTCTTTGCTTTTAAATAATTAAGAAAATATAAATAGCAATGCTTTTATAAAAATTTAGAGCACATTCTTTTATCAAAACATTAAGTCTATTGTTTGTACTTAGTCTAATATTTGTTTATTGTAGCTTACAAAAAATAAAATTTTGCAAATTACAGACCAGGTTTTATTATCTAATTGTTATCCAATTGTGCAATTACAAATAATATTTTAATAAAACTTATAAATATAACTTCATAATTATACAATTGGATAACAATTAGATAATTGTAATAAATACATCATTATGACTATTATAACTAAAGCAAAACACCATCAACTTGAAGAACAACAAAGTAATCTATCAACTGATGATGAGAAATATAGTGAAGATCAATCTTTAGATTATGTTTCTGATAATGATATTTTTACTGATATCTATAGTAATGCTTTTTTCTTCACAATTTTAATTTATTTGTTTATTTTTTTTTATTATTTATAATTATTTATTATTATATTTATATAGTAAAATAAATATAATTATTATTTATATTTAATTGATGATTCTTCAGTCAACTGAAGAATAAATATAGTAAAACATGACTCAGTTTACTATATAAATTTAATATAGACTGAATATAAAATTGCTTCAAGGTAAACTTTTTTTATACTAAGTTAATCAATCTTATTAATTAATTAAAAGTTGTAAAGCTCATCTTTGCAGTTTTAATGATGGTTAAAGCATCAAAATCGGCCTGGTGGGTATTAAGATATCTTTAAAAAACATTTCTTTTACTATGTAAACATCTTTGCAAATGATACTATTGTTTGACTATTGTTTGCAAAGAAGTTTACATAGTAAAAGAAATGTTTTTTAAAGATATTTTGGCACCTACTAGTCCAATTTTAACGCTTTAACTACCATTAAAACTGCAAAGATAAGCTTTACAACTTTCAATTAATTGACAAGATCAATTAACTTAGTATAAAAAAAAAGTTTACTTTGGAGCAATTTATATTTAGCCTATATTAAATTTATATAATAAATTGAGTCATGTTTTATTATGTTTATTCTTCAGTTAACTGAAGAATCATTAATTAAGGACTTAACTAGACATCACAGCCCTGTAATATATTATATATTACATTATAATGATTAACCAATCAAATTTCAAGATTACATTTAATATAGCATAATTAGAAAATTTTAAAACAAATGTTTGTTTTGTCAAAAGTTGCTTATAACTCAAAATTTCACATATAAAACTATCTTTTGCACTATAACAAAAAAAATTCTTTGAGAACTTTTACTATAAGATCTTTTTTATACCCTAACTCTATCTAACTCTAATCCTAACTAAACATTTAAGTTCTTTTTTTTATTTTTAAGTTAACAATTTATAATTTGTATATATATGCGATGTATAAGCACATCGCAGAGTGCGACTTATACATTATCTTATATTTAATATTGAAAAATTAAAATTACTATATATTTAAGATTTGATTATTAAATATTAATCAATTCTAGGATTTTGATTATCAATTCTAGTTTTTAAAATCGATTTATAGCCCTAGTTTGTATTATGCCTATATTTATTTGTGTAATAGTATAGTCACATAATTATGATAATTGTTACTACTGATTGTAGTTAGCAAAATTCTAAAATAATACCTAGCATAAGTTTGGTATACTCTTGATTTTGTAATTTTTTTTTTATAGCATAATTTAAACAAAAATATATACATAACCAAAATAGAGTTACAGTATTAATAAAAGTTTCTCTGCACCTATTTCTTCTCATAAAAAGATGCTACAGCCTTGAAAATTTCAAAAAAAGTTAGTATATATACAGATTAGATCTGTATTTTAGTTAAAGATTGTTTAATTACTAGAAATA